AAGCTAGGCACAGGGATTTGACAGACTTTGCATGATGTCCCCAAGGTCTTGGCTACTATGTGCTACCCCACTTCCCCGGTGAAATGGGACTTTCCCAGGGCTGTGACCTTTCGGCCTCTGGGATTACCACTGTAACCACCCACGCCTGACCTCTTTCTTCATTTTCTCTGCTGTCCATTGGCTCATGTCAATGTGGTCAGCTCAGGGGGGATAGGGCTACCTATGGATACTTAATCTCCTCTTTGGTCTAACCTACACATTTAGTAAACACTGATTGGGGGTGATGTACTGGGGTGCAGAGTAAAGAAGCCGTCACACATAGACCTGTAGAATTTCAAGTGGCAGTAGGGACTCCACAGAGAGCAGGGTGCCAAGAAAGAATAACATGGGGATGTGGTTCTGATTGGGTGGATGGGCCTCTCTAGTGTTTAGGCCAAAGCCTGGAAAATAAGGAAGGGTGAATCAGGAGAGAAGGGGCCAGTTCAGTATCTAGAGATGACTAGAGAGGTGGGAAGGGGCTGGGGTCTGCAGGGCCCACGAGGCCACTTGGGGAAACTTGATTTTCTCAAGGCAGGAAGAAGCCATGGAGGTGGAGGATGCAATGCTCTGCACCTATTAGAGATGCCTGTGAATTGTTGAGGGCTTGTCATAAGCTGGGTGTTCGGTGGGGTGGCAGCTGTGAAGGTAGAAGTCATCAGGACCTCTGCCAGAGAGACCACCGTCCAGCCATGAGTGTGAAGGCAGGCCCAGGTCTGTGCTCATGACCACCATGGTCACTTGCCTATGGTAGCAGGTGAGTCCCTCTCACCTGGCACAAAGCAGGGAGTTGGTCCCTGGGGTTCCTAAGAAGGACCCAGGGTAGCAGGGCCAGGCCTGGTCCCCGCCAGGCTGGCAAAGCTACAGATGTGGACATGAGAGTTCTCTTCTGTAAGGACCTCCATTCTCATGGTCGGTCTCATACCCACAGGCCAGTCGTTGACAGCTTTTTAAAAATCCAGTCTTTTACATTTATTGCGATGAATATGATTGTTTTAAATTTTTCCCCTCAGTTTATTTGAAATAAAAAAAAATTCATAGCAATGAGTGAGAGGATCTCAAGGCTGGTGCGGACAAATAGCTCAGGATGGGTCTCAGAGAAGAGCTACCACCCAGCCTTCCTCTTTCTCATTTTGTGACCTAATTTCCCTCACACACATCCGTTGCACCCCCACCCCCAGCTTCTTGTTCTGTCTAGCTTGGGTTGGCTTTCAGGGGCCCCATGGGGCAGTCACATCCCCACTAGACAATACTAAGAGGCATCTGGTGTTGCCCCCAACACTATTCGATAG